AGGAGCACTCGGGGCCGTGACTCCTAAGCTGGGAGAGTGGCTCCAACAGATCCCAGGAACAACATCAGAGCTCTTTGTCCAGAAGAGTGCAGTGCTGGGAACAGCTCAGATCCTGCGTAGAACCCCCAAACTCCCAGGCCTCTGGTAGAGGACCCGAGATTGAGGAAGACACAGAGAACCCATAGGGGTGAGAAGGGAATTTATTCATCCAGCATTAATAGTAACTACTATTACTTGTGCTTGTAGCACAAGCACCAAGTTGAACTCCTTTAACAAAGAACAGTGGTAGACCATGCTTTGCACAGGATAGTAGTTTGAAATCCTAGAACCCTAATCAAGACCATTGCTGTCTAGAAACTCTTCACCCCAGGTCATGCTGAATCACCTGCATGGCATGTCTATTATATCTGGCCCTTCAGGGATGAGGATTCAAACATATTTGCATGCTAAAGGCATTCGCCATGCTGCCAGATGCTGCACTCAACCAGCTGCAGGGGTCACGTCCCTAATCAGAAAACTTTCAGGCAGTAGGTGCCAATGCAGAGAGGTATGGCCACCGCGGTGTTATTAGCATAGAAGGGGAAAACAGGATGCCTCCCCAGTGCTAGAGAATGGTGACTTGTCCTTTTCAGATCAGGGAAGCTGCTGTTTCATGTCTAGAAGGATGGCCACATTCCCTCACGGGCTGTGTCATTTTAAAAGACGCCTTTATCCATTTTGGAGTAGCATCTTCTTCATTACTGCAAGTTCTCTCTCCTGGAGCCTCTCCCCACTGCTGAGCGGAACAGCACGCCAACCATCCTCGACCCAAGAAAAAACTATGCCAGCCTGAAATGTGCTATCTCCCTTGCTGACCACAATCCCCTCTCTCTTGTCTGTGGTTCGAGCCACTGCACTTGCCTGGCTCCCCTCTGAGGTAATAAGTGGCAGAGCCTGACAGCTTTTGGGCCCCCTGAGATGGAAGGCTACTGGATCTGGGATGCAGAAATCCAAACAGCCACAAGGAGACTGCAAAAAGTCTGCATATTCTTTGCTGCCATCTGGATTTCCCAGATTGGATCTGGTAGCCCTACTTAAGGCTGCCTTTGGAGGGGGCCGGAATAAGTGGGAAAACACTGTTTTCATAGCCATACAAGTAGGAATGGCTGACATGTTGTGGACAAGATGAAGGCAATATCCTGGGAGTACAGTAGAAAAAAGATATTGCCAGGGTATGTTTATGCTTAGTTGCAACTGAAAAAAGCCCTTTGTGGTTATTGGATGCATTATCCCTGTCCACCAGATTGTTTGTTTCATGGAGTAGAATAGAGAGGGATCACCTGGTGTCCTACTTTCCATCTGTATTCTGCTACTGTTATCTACATAAAAGGGTTAAGGTTGGAATAACCAAAGGCCCCTCCTTTGAGATTGTCCATGCAAATAATCCATAATATTGTTTCCAGTGGCTCTGGAAAGTTCTGTACTTTTTAGATAGATAGATAGATAGATAGATAGATAGATAGATAGATAGATAGATAGATAGATAGATAGATAGAATGTAAATTATTCCCTTTTTTTATGTCTCTGCCTGCTTTCGCCTGCCTTTGGTCTTACTTTTGCCAGTTAGGTGTTACTGATCTCTGTTGATGTTTAATAAACAAACATCAGGCTATATTTTTTGCTAGCTGAATTAAGTGGCAGGTGTGCTTGCTCTGATCTGGATATAGGGATTGACTAGATGATACTGGATACAAATTAACCTGGAAATTACTCACAGTAATTTTCCAACAATAATCATAAATTTTGCATCTGAAAATCACCGAATAAAGCTCTACCCAAAGTTTTAACATTTACTGCTTTTATTTTATTAATTTATTACATTTCTGTTCCAGCCAATCCATTTGAAATCAAAGCAATAGAATCAAACAACACATCTGCAGTCAGTGTTTGATTTGGCAAGTAGGCAGCCAGTTTACAACCCCCCCACCCCCCCCCCCAATCAAGAAAAGCATCATGGAACACCCGAAGAAGCAGTATTTTTTAAGACAGGTAGGAAGAAGGTAGATCTGGATGGGATCTACTGGAGATTTACAATAGATTGGCCAGTACTTCTGATTCACAATTATTTAACCATAACAGCACCAAAATGATTCTCTCTTCCCATCCACGATCGTATTAAAACTTAAAATAACCAAGAGTAGGTTTTCATGTGTGGAAGAAATGTAAGCTCCATTCTTTCTTTTTTTAATAGTATTTTATTGAAATTTTAAGATTACAAAGTTAAAAGTTAGAAATGAAAA